CGGTAGTTGCATGTATACCTCAAACAACTCATTGCCACATTGCTTATGGCCACACAGTTAATCTATGATATAATTCTGGCCAGGCAAATTTAACTGTGCCAGACTCCAGCAATGCAGCCTGTTTCCGACTGCGGAACTCCAACTTTGGCCCACAAATTCTGGTTTTTTGATTTCGTTTTGTTTTTTTTTTTCTTCGGTATTTGCTGCAGCTGCAGCTGCATGTGGCACATGCATAATTTTTTTTTGGCTAGCTGGCATTTTTGGCTGAGTTACACATATTCAGATAATTATATGTATCTTTGTATCTTGGGTGGGGGTAATAGATACTTACTTGCATATACTTACAGCTATATGGAAATCTTTTGAAAGTGGTTGAGATTTTTGATAAAATGACATTAGGCAACTATTGAAAATTATGTTAAGATAAAAGAGTTACGAGAACTATCAGAGCTAAATATCCTGTAGCTAACTATAAAGTGCACGTATCACTAACATACTGCGATTTGTTATAAAAATCTATGGCAGACAATCAAATTCCTTTGCATAATAGATCTTTGGTTTGCTAAATTTCATTACATAGTTCAGGTTTTAAATAATTTTCGTCGAGACGCTTTTTTTCGCATTGCTTGAAAATTAATCAATCAAACAAATCAACAAAGCTCTTGGTTATTTTTATAATTTTTTTTATTTATCAAGAAAAAGTACTTATTTAAGGTTTGGTTCGTGAAGCTGGAACAAAAACAAAAAATGATTAAAAGCTCAAAGTATATTATTATATTTTAATTTTAATTATTGCTATTATTATTATTATTAAATTAAACTAAATTCAAATATTATAAGCCACCATTTTTTGGATATATGTTTCGGTGCAGGCAAAGTTTTCTCTGTTCCTTATTTAAAAAATCTTTTTCAAGGCTCGGTTCAGGGTCAGGTGGAATGGAATTTCGGGTGCGTATCGGCTCAAAATCGTTTTGCAGCCTGGCTGCATAGAGAAAAGTATGCGATAGTATACTCATCTAAACAAAAAAAATTTGTTTAAACCATAAATCTATCCCTATCGATAAACTTATTATAAGAAAAACATTATATAATTTCGAAACACTTGAAAAGTGCGAGTCGGTACAAAACAGTAGATGTGAGACCTCTAGCCTATAAAACATTAGAGCTAATACAACTCAGCAGCTGCTGAAGTTAATATAAATTTTATGGGATCATTAAGGTCTCCAAATACCTACATGTAGACTTATGGGTATATGGTATATGCAATTCCACAGCTTTATTAAGCCTTCTTATTACCATTTTTCAACTGGATGCAGAGTAACTCGAAAGACAGTTTGGTTTATTCCCATGCATCTGATATGCAGCTCACTAAAAGTAGCACCACAAAAATCACTTTCATTTTGCCAACAGTGCAGTTTCAGTTGTTCAACTCCACGGTTATGCTCTATAAAGAGCTGCTCTCATATATAAATACTTCTTTTTTTTCGAACGCACTTGCAGCAAAGAGCCAAATGATATATGTGGGGAGCACATATAGATATCAACGACAAGACGTACACATAAATCAATGCGATGCCCTCAATATACGCAACATTGATTCATGCATTCATTCACTCGCTCATTCATTCATTCCTTCATTCACTCATTCAGTGCAACAAAGCGACTGCCGCCAAGTTTTTAGTTTGTAGGTTGGAGTAGCTTTAGGTAGGTAGTTCCTCTTGAGTTATATTTACATTATCTTTGAGCGAGGGTATTAAAGGCAGAAAAAAACAACCTTTTGCTTCCACTTTCACTGCAATGGCCTTACTTACTAAAATGCCAAGAGACAACAATAACAAGCAGAGCAAAAACAACAAAAATGAAAAGCGAAAAAAAAACAAAAACAAACAAACAAAAATCAACTAAACTGAACCTTTAGCCATAAGTCGCTATATAACAAAAATGATTTTAATTAAGGCGCATTTAACACGCAATTAAAAGTGTTTACAATCGTTTTTCTTTTTTTTCGAATAAGAGACTAAACAAAAAAGTATATTTAATAATACATAATGCACATGACTCTTAACTAAAGCATTTCAAATATGCGGTAATCAAAGCGTTTGATGCGTTTTCTCATTCACACATTTTACAGCAGCCCAACTCCAACTTCAGCTACAGCTTCACTTTCAGCTTTGGCTCTAATTATGAGCCAAGCTGCAAATTATATATATAAGCTAGGAGAGAACGGCACGTCGAAGCTTAAATACTCTTCGAGACATATGGCTGGGCTTAGTTAGGAGATCTTGAAAAAGTTTTCCATGCAGAAAGGATCAATTTTTCGGATATTACCGATATGGTCCGATTTTGATTAGATTTATCTAAAATGTGAGTAGTATGGCAAAACTCGTACGACATGATTCATAATAGAGAAACATTTCATATAAGAAATTCATTTTCGACCTATTGTTCCCATGCAAGGCTGAACACGTTAGTGTCGAATAAGATCAAGATATGTTTATAAGCAAAAAATTATATTTGACAAGCACTTAATTTTCGACTGATTGTTCCTATAGCAACAATATGACAAAGTGTTCCGATTCAGCCATTTTCGACACACGATAACATTCTGATAAGGATAAGTGAAGAGCATGGAAGAACTCATAAATGTCTAGAATGATCAAAATAACTATTTGATATAAAAACATAATTTTCGACCGATCGTTCCTATAGCAGCAATATGGTATAGTGTTCCGATCCAGCGATTTCCGACATATGATAAGATTCTGGTAAGAATTCGTAAAAAACATGGCAGAACTCGATAATGTCTATTTAGATCAAGATATGTTTATTAAATAGAGTATTTCATATAAGAACTAAGTATTCGATTAATTCCTATTATTACGATCCAGGCGCTTCCGACATACGTACTTCCTACAACGGCAAGAGGAACCTATGAGAGACAGACGAAAAAGGCTACAACGACTCGCAGAGAACTGAGAGCCTTACACCGAAGGTGTTTTCTTAGCTTTACAATTGAGGAACAGACGATATACATATTGCTCGACAAAATTATAATACCCTCGACAAGGGCATAAAAACATAAACTCGAATCTGTTGCAGGCAACAGCTGCCACTCACTTTCGCCAGTTTCCACAGTTGCGCCTAAATAATAAAATAAAGTAAATAATAATAAACACTGAGAACACTTAGCTACATAATCTCGCACCCACTTACAGCTGTTTATGCCAAGTTTTAACTGCTCGCGTTTGCTCGCAGACAGAGACACTCGCACTCACATTCACACTCACTCACATTCAGACTGGCACTCATGGTGCACTCACTCTGCAAACGGAAACGCATACGGCTGGCTGCCTTCGCGCAGGCAAAACTCAAAGAAACACCTCAACTGGCAACAGGTGCATTTTGTGGCAGCCACCGTTTTGTTGCAGTTACACTCAGATTGCATAAGTGCCACATTTGGGCGCAACTTTGCGGCTCATTTGCATCTGCGTTTCTCGCATTAGCAATTAAAAACGCAGCTGCCGTGTCGAAATCTTCACAACAACTGCAGCTTTATTCTCCGCTTAATGCGAGATTTTTAGATTTGTTCAAGTCAAGAAAATTAAATGTGAAAAACTGAACAAAAAAACTATTTGAATTGTTTTCTTTGTTTCAAGTTTTTATACCCTCTAAACGCGAAAAGGCTTAAAGGTATTTTATTGCAACGCTACAAATAGAAATTTATTTGGATCTAGAGAAACTAGGGTTTCTTCTACATTTTCTACAAGTTGCGAAGAGGCTTAAAGGTATTTTGTTGGAGCTCTTCAAATAGACATTTACTTGGCCCTAAACTAACTAGGGTTTCTTCTACAGTTATACATTATTCTACAAGTTGACAAAGAGGTTTAAAGGAATTTGAATATTTGAATCTAGTCATCTATTTGGATCTAGAGTATCTAAAGTTTCTTCTACATTATTCCACAAGTTGCATTAAAACACATGCATTATTGACTCTGGAAATATATCTTAAACAAATTCCTATAGTTAAGAAGTATAATAAATAGATGGTAAAAGTAAATAAATAAAAATTTTATTTATTATGTTATTATTATGTTATTATTATGTTATTGCACTAAAAATTAAAATTATATTTAACATATGTGACTCTTGAAACAAACATACAAATTCCAATATATCAAAAATTAACGGAAAACAACTTACAATTACTTTAAATTTTTGAATGTTAAATAATTCAAAGAATTCATGATTTTCATAGTTTATCTGGAAAATAAATATTACAGTTATTGCTCTCACTTTTAAGTTATGTTTAGCTTAAATTAATTTTAAGACACACAAAAAGTGGACTCAGTGTTGCGCGCTGTACTTTGTCTGCTGCTTGACGCTTGCGATTCACAACAAGTTAAAGCTAGAGTTGTAAATAAAATCAGAATTTGATGTTGATTGAAATATCTATGCAGACAAATTTCTCATTCATGCTGTTTATACCTTGTTGTGCGTTGATTAATACCCTTAAAATGAGCAGCCTTGTACTTGAGCCAGCCAGCTTAATATTATTATTTATTCTAAATCACTAAAAGCAACCTGTCAGGTTTATCTACAATCTACATTTAGAACGTCTCATACATATTAGCCTAAGTTCGAACTTGAGCTCGAAAGCTTAATCTTTGGTTTAGGTTGTCTCTTAAAAATGTATTTAAATGTGCTTATTTTATTTTAATTATTAGAAACAGGGTATTATATAGTCAAAGCTTACGCCTTGTCTGACATAAACAATAGCCGACTGCGAGGTATGTTGTTTGTGTGTGTGTTCGTGTGTGTGTGTGTTGGGTGCATGTGTATTGTGTGTGGCTTTCATTAAGCTAATTCCCGCAAATTATGAGTAATAACCGACACGCTGGCATTCTTGACCCAGTTTAACTGGAAATTAGCTACATTTTTGGCACCAAGACACTAATGCATTCCGTCTATCTCCCTCCCTCTCTCTCACAAACTCTTTGCAGAGCATGGAGCTGAGCAACTTTTCCAACAATAAGAAAATGTCACGCGAGGAGCGTCGCTACTCGGTGCCGCATGGTCCCAACACGCCGCTGCCGCCGGCGGCATCCGAAGATCTGCATGCCTGGTCCATTTATAGGTGAGTGCGGAAACGTTGTGGGCGTGCCCTTGATGCATCCGCTGCCGCTGCCACTGCCACTGCTGTGGCAGCTGCACCTGTTTGACAATTTTGACGCTTGATTTAACCGCAGCCAAGCGGAAGTTCAACTGCCATAACTTTAATTAGATGCATTGACCACGCCCCCGCGTTTGACAATGACATAGCTAAGCGCAGCTCTAACCCTTTCTTTTCTCTCCCCCAAACATGCAGGCAAAATCTGAACTCTGACTTCACCGATTCGGCGCTGGGCTCGTCAGATAAATCACCGCTGCCATATGGAAATTTCCAGCTACGCGACACCACAGTGCAATCAATCTTAAATCATCCGCGCTACGGACCCAAGTGAGTAACAACAACAACAACAACAACAAAAATGAAAAACATTATTAAATATCTATATTTACTGTGCTGTTACTCACATATCAACAATCGCATCTTCAATTAACAACATTCTTTAAAGCTGACAAGTTTCTCGACTGTGATAATAAATAACATACAACATTTTTATCGAATGATAATTTTAAAAAAATCAAAATAGTTTTACAAATAAACAATAAAATATTTTGTTTCCAATTGCTTTTAGACGAATTGAAATCTTGAGTTGGTATAAAATAAGTATGTACCATTTAAAAGGTGTTAATTTTCAATATCTTGAAATCTCCATCTTTAAAGTGATGAATTCTCAATATCTACAAAATTCTATTTTTAACATTCCTTGATATTTGCTTGTCCGACGAATTGGAATGTTAAGTTAGGATAAAAAAAAATGTTATCATTTCAAAAGTAGAGATCTTAAAGATCATTTCTTTAAATCTCCATCTGCACGTTAAGACGGGGTTTCGGGAAATTCCACCCGCAAGTGTGGAAAAATCGCGAAAAACGTTTGTATGTAACTTTTTTGTTTACCATCCGATCGGCCTCAAATTTATTTTCAAAGGTCTTTGTTCAAATTCATTTGAGGGGTGTTTCGCACTTTTTGGAAAATGCATCCCTCCTTGGTGGAAATAGAGGTCAAAGATTTGGTGGGTGACGTTTCGCGCTCAAATTCATTTCATGTGATCTATATGAAAAATCATTTGAGACGTGTTTCTCACTTTTCGCAGAATTCAAACTTCTTCGGGGGGAATGCGATTTAAAGATTTTTTGTGCGAAGCTTTAAGTTGTGTCCGATTTGCTTCAAACTTATTTTTAAAGCTCTTCATAAGAACTTAATAAGTACGTAATTCAGCGATTTGGAACATTCCACCCGCAACAGTGGTAAATTGGTGGAAAAAGGTTGTAAGAAATTTTTTGTTTACCATCCGATCGGCCCCAAATTCATATTTAAAGATCTATGTTTAAATTCATTTAAGGGGTGTTTCACACTTTTTGAAAAATCCATTCCTCCTTGGTGGAAATGGAGGTCAAAGATTTGGTGGGTGACGTTTCGCACTCAAATTCATTTCCTGAGATCTATTAGAAAAATCATTTGAGACGTGTTTCACACTTTTCGCAGAATTCAAACTTCTTCGTGGGGAATGCGACTCAAAGATTTTTTGTGCGAAGCTTTAAGTTGTGTCCGATTTGCTTCAAACTTATTTTCAAAGCTCTCAATAAGAACTTAATGAATACGTATTTCGACGATTTGGGAAATTCCACCCGCAACAGTGGTAAATTGGCGGAAAACGGTTGTATGAAAGTTTTTTGTTTACCATCCGATCGGCCCCAAACTCATTTTCAAAGATCTATATTCAAATTCATTTGAGGGGTGTTTCACACTTTTTGAAAAATCCATCCCTCCTTGGTCCAAGAAGATTTGCTGGATGACGTTTTGTGTCCAAATTTATTTCCAAAGATCTATAAGAAAAATCATTTGAGACGTGTTTCACTTTTTTCGCAAAATCTAAACTCCTTCGGTGGAAAATGCCTTTCAAAGTTTTTTTTAGTGAATTTTAAGTTTGTTTGATTCCCGTCCGATCAGTTTCAAAATAATTTTCAAAGCTTTTTGAAAACATTGATTTTATAACATACGTGCCACGGGCAAGGCCGGGTTATACCCGCTAGTTTAAAATATAATGATAAATTTATAAAGTTATATCTTGAAAATTCCATGATTTTTATATAATTCCCAATCTTAGAAGAATGCTACGGACTCTAACATATCTAAAAGGGTACCAATACATCGCATTTTGAATAATTAAAGTTTCTGAAGCGAAGGATCTTTAAATCCAGAGATCCTAGAATATTCAATCTAATCCTACATTTTATTATTATTATTTGTATTATTATTATTATTATTATTATATTATTATTATTTGTATTATTATTATTATTATTATTATTATTATTATTATTATTATTATTATTATTATTATTATTATGGCATACCCTGGATTCAGTGACCTCCGGTTCTAGCCTGGGACTTGAACCCGGATGCTCGTTCTTCAGTTTTCTAAATGAATGGTTCACTTACCTATCGGAGACCAGGGACAAGTATTTTCATAATTTATTATAAAGATGTTTTGTATTTGTATAGATGGAATATCCTGGGGCTCGAACTTTCAACCACTGAATATTGATTAAACATTTTAAATTGCTCTATTTGGGTTTTAAGCATTCCAAATGTTAAAATATAAAACTACGATTCAAGCTAAAATTAGGTTTAAGAGATATGACTGTACTCATTTTATGTTGGTCCTGCCCATAATACCGTGGGTATTTTTCTTGGTTTCATTTAAGAAAAAGGGAAAAAGATATAAGAGATTAGTAATAATTAATACTTTTATAGATTGTTTCTTTTTTTTTTTTATCAATATTTTAACATGAGAGTAAAGTTTTAAAATATTTGATGTTTATGGAGTTGGTTCAAGATTTTTTCACCAACAACCACAGATTTCAGATTCAGACCAACTTCTTTTTAATCGCACTCTTCTCTCTCTATCTCTATTTTAGATCGCCCCTAGGTTCGAACATGTACACATATCTCAAGTTTGGGCTGCCGCGCGTCTTTCCGCCTAATGCCGGGTCACAGCGCTCCCATCGACCTGGTCCGGGACCGGGCGGCTCCAGTGCACTGGGCGGCGTGCGCGGCCGTGTGAATCGCGGCTTTCGCGACAGTTCGGCTGCCCCGGCAGGCGCCGGCTCCAGCGGCTATGACAGCAGCGATAATGAGACGACACGCAGTCGTGTGCCGCCCAATTTGCGCAAATATCGCAGCGAATCCGATTTCCGTGCCATCAGCGGCATGGGCATGGCCATGGCGCACTCACGCCCGGAGTCACGGGCCCAGGGCGGCGTGCCGTCGGCGGCGCTGCGTCAGGCGAACAGTCGCGCCAGCATTGCCGTGGGCCAGCATCATCATCTCCACCACCAGCAGCAGCAGCAACAGCAACAGCAGCAGTACATGACCAATGGCAAGCACTACGGACATCGTTCGCACAGCGAGGCTGATCTGCTCGGCGCCGGATTGGGCGGCGATGGTGGCGGCGGCGGCCTGGGCTATGACTATGGTGAATCGCGCATCTATGGCAGCTCGCGGCACGGAGCGCAGTACGGGCGCAAACAGTCGAGTCTGGGCCTGATCTATCCGAATATACAGGTGCACTGCCTGGACGTGAGTCCCTGCCTGCACGGCGTCTCGCTGCAGGCAAAGGCCGGCGATCTGTTTGCCATTATGGCAACGTCACAGCGCGAGGGCAGCGCATTGGCCGAGTGCCTGGCGGGTCTGCGCGAGCGTCTGGGTGGCGAGATTCTGATCAATGGCCAACAGGTGAATCGGCGTGGGCTGCGCGAACTTTGCAGCTATGTGCCCGCCCTGGAGGTCTCCTCGCTGGATCCGCGCATGAGTGTGCAGTGTACGCTGAATTTCCATGCGGCGTTGCGCGGCCCGCTGGATCGCAGCGATCTGAAGGAGCGCATGGATGTGCTCATTGAGGATCTGGGGCTGAATACGGTGCGCGCCTCGAATGTCTCGACGCTCACCCATTCGGAGAAGCAGCGTCTGAGCGTCGCCTGCCAGTTGCTGGCGCAATCATCGCTGCTGATACTCGACCAGGTCACCAGCAATATGGACATCTTTGACACGTTCTTTCTGGTGGAGTATCTGCGGCAATGGTGCAGCGGTGGTCGCATTGTCATCATGACTCTGCAGCCACCTACCTTTGAGATATTGTCCATGTGCTCCGGCGTGCTGTTGCTGTCCGGCGGACGCACCGTCTTCTCCGGCAGTCGCGCCGATTTGCCACGCCACATGGGCGAACTGGGCTATCCGTGTCCGCCCTTCAAGAATCCAGCGGATTATTATTGTAAGTCCAGCCTCTAACTATATGCTTATGTATATGTATATCAAATTTATGTGCCCCTCAGTGGATCTGGTCACCTTGGATGATTTGTCGGCCGCTGCCATGCTGGAGTCATCGGCGCGCATCGAATCGTTGGCCAATGCCTGGGATCAAATCAATTCGGAGCCGCCGCTGGCCGCGCCGCCCGCCTCGCTGCCTAATTTTACGCTGAAAGCGGGCTTCTTTGGCCAGGCCAAGGCGCTAGTTAAACGCTTTGCCGGCTACAAGCAGCCCGGCTCGCTGCTCACTTGGATCAGCAAGCTGATAGCCGCTGCGGTGCTCTCCCTCTGCATTGGCTGCATCTTCTGGGATGTGCCCGCCTCGGATCCGCAGTTGACCTACAACGATCGCTTTGGCTATCACCATTGCGTCATGGTGCTGGCCTACTGGCCGCTGGTCATGCTAACTATACGGGACACCCAGGAGGATCGACGACACGCGGAGCGTGATATACGACTGGGCCTCTACTCGCGCAGTCTCTACATCATTGTGCAGGTGGGCCAAATCTATAGCAAACATCCTCTTGCACACATTAACGAATGCCATGTACTTTATTTATGCCTTGCAGAGCCTGCTCGGCCTGTTTCCCAGCTTGTGCATCTGGTTGGCCTATTTGCTGCCGGCTCACAGCATGGCCGGACTATACACCTACTCGAATAGCAGCGACACGGGCATCTATTTGTACATGGGTAAGTGGGACAGCAGAAAAAAAGAACAGAATCTAGCAGCCTAATGTGATTGGGTAATTCTTTCTACAGGGTATATGCTGCTCTATCTAACGCTAATACAAACGCTGGCCTTGTTCTGCGCCCATCTGCTGCCCTGCAAGGTCTCTGCCAGTCTGGTGAATGCCCTGATCAGTCTGGCGCTGACTGCCGTCGGCGGCTATCTGGTGCATCCGCGTAATCTGTCCAAGCTCTGGTCTTGGCTGCAGTTGGCCTCACCGCAGCGTTGGCTGCTGCCCGTCCTGGTGCAGGATGAGTACAGTGCCGAGACGCTGGCCAATTCCGCGGGTTTGCAGCTGTGCCGCAATAAGCAGGTGAGCTAGTCGGAAACTGTTAACTATGGAATTTTTATACTCGTTCACAAAGTGAAAGGTGCTATGCCCGTCATGCTGTCCGGTCGTCTGTTTAAACGACATTTTTTGCGTTATTTAAATTAGAGAATTGAAATGTTCGCGCATTAGGCGTCAGGTAAAGGGCTTATAAAATTTTGGCTAGCCGCGAAAATCTAGGTCTCCCACAGTTTAAGAGCCAAAGAAGCCATATATGATATGATGACTATTGATAAACTCCTTTATACATCAATTTCAAAATATAGAAACTTGAAATTTGAAATATTTAATCTCCTACAATACACATGGATCGAGTTTAACACCTTTCCTCCTCCTGATCTCCTCCTATTTTCTTAAATATCGATAAATATTGATTTTAATAAATGGTTTCTTGAGCTCAGCTCGAAAGTTACATGAGCTAGTTGTACCAAACTTGGTATGTACGATCTCTTAAAGTATGGAAAGATTAAGAATACTTCACTTTTTGATAAGGATCGGTTCGTAAACATCGAAGTTAATTTGGAATGCATTTTCCATATATAGGGTTGGGCAAAGCGTGTGCACATATAGAAGGAAGCTAGATTGCTCGTAACGGTAGCTCGACTCTGGGTACAGGGTATCTTTTAGGCGGAGACTACCGACTCGAGCACAGTTACTTGCTATCGTTGTTATTGGACTGTGACCGAGTAAAACGCAGTCGGATAAACCCGACTGATAGATTACTACTTGTTACTTATATGCCTATTCGAATTGCAGGTGCAGCATCAGGAGATCATTGTCCAGCAGCCCTGCCCGCCGCCCAATGGCACACAGGTGCTGCACGATTATCAGTTGCTGCCGCAGCAACATGTGCTGGATGCCACACTCAGCTATGATCAGACCACATCTGTGGCCCTGGTGCTGGCCTCTGTGTTGCTCTTCTGTTTGACATTCATAATCTTTGTGTGCAATTGCCGCGGCGCGTGCCGCAAGCGACGCAGCCGGCGCTACTAGGCACTCACTTGTAGCCGGATCCATCCAACTGTACATTAGTTAGCAACTAAATTTCTTTATAAACAATAACAAAAAAATTGTAGTCGAGGCAGCGAACTTTTAACTAACTAAGACAAGTGTCTTTTATTGTGCGATTGAAGGAATGTTGCGTTGAATATAATAAGGGGTCACAGTTATGTATATATTCGATTGAGCCAAACTGTATGGAGTTAATGATGAAAGAGGCGCAGATTGGTGTGCGCAATGATAATGCCATGCTCATCACAGGCGGCAATGACGCCCGCATCATTGGTGGAGCCAGACGGACTGGCTATGTAGGAGACGCCGCTCTGCAAAAATAAAAGTAAAAGTAAACCAAACGATAAACAACAACAGTAGAGGAGTACGCACCAGTCTGGCGCGATCAATGTTATCGCGGAAGGGAAAGAAAGCATCGGAGCCGAGTGCCACGCCGTTTAGCTGCTTTAGCCAGTCAAGCTTCTGCGCTGCCGTCAGCTGCTCCGGCGCCTTATCGAACCTGTTGGGCAATACAAGAAAAGAAACGCACGTCAAGCAGAGCCGGGAGCACAATTGTTCACAAACTGTGCACATACATGCCCTTGAACTGCGCCAATGGCATATCCTTGCCCACGGTGCCATTCACATAGTTATCGATGGCATTCGAAATTTCGGCACGCTTGACGCCCGCCTTGAACTTCATGGCGGCCACATTGGGATGCTGACGCAGCCACCAGTTGTCGGCCTTTTCACCAGCCAGACGTGTGCAGTGGATGCGCGACTGCTGGCCAGCGCCAATGCCAATCACCTGGCCATCACGGGCATAGCACACGGAATTGCTCTGGGTATACTTGAGCGCAATGGTGGCCACAATCAGATCGCGCACGGCGGACTCGGGCAAGGGTCGGCGTTTGCTGACCACATTGGTAAAGAGCTTGGCATCAATGACGGCATCGTTGCGCTTCTGCTCCAGCGTCAGGCCAAAAATGGTTTTGCGCTCCACAGCGCTCGGCTCGTAGTCGGGATCCATCTGCAAGTGTTCACTGAATTAGTGTGCGCCTCAGTTGTTTATGGGGGAACCGTACCTGCAGTATGCAGTAGCTGCCATTCTTCTTCTTCTTGAGTATCTCCAGTGCCTCCGGCTCGTAGCCAGCAGCAATGATGCCATCAGAGACCTCACGCGATATAATCTTGGCCGTGAGCACATCACAGACATCGGACAGCGCCACAAAGTCACCAAAGGAGCTCATACGATCAGCACCGCGTGCCCGGGCGTAGGCTGTGGCCATGGGCGTTAGCTGTTCGTACAGATCGTCCACCATGCAGAGCTTGGCCTGCGCCGGACTGAGCGGCACGCCCACAGCGGCGCCGGCAGGCGAGACATGCTTAAAGCTGGTTGCCGCCGGCAGCTGCAGTGCCTGCTTCAGTTCCCTGACCAGCTGCCACCCATTGAGTGCATCGCAGAGATTGATAAATCCGGGCGAGGCATTTAGCACGCGCAGCGGCAGCTGTGCCAGCTGTGTGTACAGCTGCGCCGGCTTCTGGTGCGGATTCATGCCATAGCGTAGCGTCAGCTGTGAGGAGCCAGCGCCATACTGTTTCCGAAAATAGTCCGAGATGGCCTCATCATAAATGGCTGTATGGGTGAAAGCCTTCAGCGCCAAGGCTTGACGCGTCTCCAGTGTGGTATCGCCCTTGGCGCTAATCTCGGCCAGCACCTTGGCATAGTCGACGGACTCACAGATGACTGTGACACGCTGATGATTCTTGGCTGCGGCACGCAACAGCGTTACGCCACCAATATCGATATTCTCGACGGCATCGGCCAGACTGACATCCGGCTTGGCTATGGTGCTGGCAAAAGGATACAGATTACAGACGACCAGCTGTATGAGCTCGTAATGCTGTTGCTTCATGTCAGCCAGATCGCTGGTGGTGGTACGCGACAGTATGCCCGCATGCACGGCGGGATGCAGCGTTTTGACACGTCCACCCAGCATTTCGGGTGCGCCCGTTATGTCCGAGACATCCTTGACGACCAGACCAGCGTTACGCAGCGCAGTAGCTGTCCCGCCGCTGGCAACCAGTTGAAAGTCGAGCGCTCCCAATTGCTTCGCCAGCTCCTCCAGACCCGTCTTTTCTGAGACGCTGAGAAGTGCTGCAAGTAGGCAAGCGCGTAAATTGAGTACAAATTAAATATGTATATTGTATATAGTCTTTGATCTACCCACCTATTTTCTTGGTTGTCATTGTTTCTAGTCCTTGGGCTGCTCCTGCTAGCTGCATGCGTTTCAGTTGACAACTGAAATGCAATTAAAAGATGAAACGATTTCAGTGGCCAGACGTGGACTTGGATTGCACAAACATGTTTTCGCTTTTCGCCTAGGCAACGACCTCTGTGGGCTGCGGTTTAACTGATAGCAACTGAAGCCCGCTCCCTTACATTTCAGAGGAAGGGTAATCTGATGCGCTTGCATCAGCAAAAAATCAAATAAAACATATAAATAGATCAGTTTTCATTGAGTTGCCGACGATTTTATGCTCTTTGGGAAATTGTTCCTATAGAAGCTATACGATATAGTAGTTCGATATTCTATCAACTTAAACTTAAGAAGCGTATTCTTATTTATGTATTTCTAGTCCTATCCATAAAGTCCTTCGATATTCAATAAAATGTATCGTCTATGTAAGGGACATTTTCTTATAAGGAGCATATTCTTTTGTATATATTTTTTTAGTCTTAGCTAGTCACCTTTATTTTTCCAGACTTTTCCTATAGTTAAAATTGCGTGGTATTCGATAAGATTATTCATATATGTAAGGCTCACATTCTAAATCTAGTAAATTCCAAGTCTGAGTACCCAATCTCAATATTCGGGACATTCTTCCTATGGATGCTATCTGATGTAGTCCTTCTATACTCAAAAAGATTTGCTTTAATTCAAGAAGCATATTGTAGTTTTGACTTTAGTAAGAGCTCAGAGTTTAGTTTTCGACCGATCGCTATACATGATATAGTAACCCGATGCTAACAAAATTGTTCCTTTTTTTAAGAAGCCCATTGATATTCATAATTGTCGAGTTTGGTTTTTAAAGTTTGTGAAAACTAAATCGATTTTGATACAAAAACTCAATTTTCGGCTGATCGTTCCTATAGAAGCTATATTTAATAGTGGTCATAAACTTGTGCCAAAATAATAGGAGCATATAAAAGCTTTGACCAAGTAAGTTTTATCAGTGTATCTATAAAAATCATTATTTTTTTTCATTATATAAGTCAATCGCTAGTTCCTATATTACCATTATAATATAGTATTCTTATGCTCAACAGTTTCGACTAATTGGAAAGATTCAGCACGATTTCTTTCAAACAATTGATTTTTTTCATACAAAAATCCAATTTTCGCAGGTTTTCTTGTATCAATATAATGTAGTTGTCCAACTTATAGAAGTTCGATATATTGGATTATGTACTGTCTGCTATTCAGCTGAAATACTGAGGGACTGGTTTGCATAGAAACAGATTCGGATCAGGAATATATATACCTATATATATACGCACATGTCTTCTCCAATGCCTATCGTGACATACATAGCTAAAATACCCTGGGCAAGTGTATAGCAAGCTAATACTCAGGTTTTAATACACAAATACATTTATTACTGCATCTGTCTGGCCGTCTCGGTTACAGCGTCTTATCGGGAAGCTCGGCAACCGGCTTCGATTGGGGTCTGACTGCCTGTTCCGCCTGTTCTGCCGCCTCTCGCTGCTTGCGCCGCTGCGACTCTCGGCGTCGCTTGTGCTTGTTTGACTTCAGATGCAGGCCCCACTGATATTCACCGATGAAGTGACGCGCGCAAGTGGCACAAAAATGGCTGGTCTCCTCGTTTAGATCGGCGCCAGGATGCACACGTTTGGCCATGGGCAGAATCTCACAGTTTTGCGCCTGGCAATAGCTATCTATGATGCACTCGGCACGCTTAAAGACCGCTTCGGGCCAGGCGCTCACAATGCTGGTGTCCAGCTCGTATAAATCGGGCACCTGCCGATCTTTGCTGGCCAGAAAACGATTGTTTATCCACTTCAGCTGCTTCTTGGAGTACCGACGCGTGACCAGCTTCAGTTCGGCACAGCAGCTGCTCAGCAGCTTGAGACTGGCAGCGAGCTGCTCCGCCTCGCTCTCCATGGCCAGAAGCTGCTCCGATGTGGGCAGCTGGTATTGGTGCGCGCTTAGGTACGCCTCCAGCCTGTCATCCTGATGCGCATCGTATTTCTGCAAATACGGCACAAATTCCTTGTAGCCAATGGTCTGCAACACGCCCTTAGTGTACGCCTGCAAGGTGACGTTCTCATAGGTGTTGTGGAATTGACGCAACTCCTTGAGCAGACCCTGCTGCAGCATGCCATCCACTCGTTTGTCTAACCGCTCATTCAGCACATCCTGCTGGCAGCGCAGCCAGAGTAGTATTGTGTGTGGGTAACGCAGTGGACCACCCAGGCGATTGCCACCTGGCTGCTGGCGCTGCTCCATTAGCTTTTCGCTCAAGGTCTGACCCGTGCTTTGGTACACCTCTATGGCGCGCTCGATCTTGCGCCGATTGTTGGGATGTATGCGATTCGCGCTGCTGCCATCAATCTGGGCCAAATGCTGATGCAATTCCGCTGTGGACATGCCGGCCATTAGCTCCGCAGACAACTGTTGGTCAACTGTTGCTGCTTGCTCCTCCTTGGTGCTAACCAGTATGTCCCACAGCAAGGATTCGATATAGTAGTTGGTGCCGCCAACCACAATTGGCGGCTTCGATTTGGCCAGTAGCTGCTCAATGATGGGTAATGCCGCATTGCGAAAGTGCGTTACGGTATATGGCTCAGCCGGCGTTGCAACGTCCAGCAGGTGATGTCGAGCACGTGCCTGCTCCTCCTTGGTGGCCTTTGCTGTGGCAATGTCCAAATTCGTGTACACTTGCATGGAATCCGCGCTGATTATTTCGCCGCCAAAGCGCTCGGCCAGCTCCAGCGATAATTTCGTCTTGCCCGTGCCCGTGGAGCCCAGAATGACAATGAGCGGCACTTTGCGCAGCATTTGGCACGTTTAATTTAATTTAATTCAACTTTAAA